CTACCAACGTAAGTGAACCGATCCGCCATTTTCAGTGGCTATTCGGAAATAGCTAAAACCAGAACTGTGTCGGCCCAGTCCAGCAACAGCACTTTGTACTTTGAAGGTGCGAAGTACATGCCGAAGCGTGCAGCGCTATGCAGTATTGCTTATAGTAGTGCAATATTGCTTGCATAGCCAATGCATCGGACCCAAGAAGAACTATGTCTTCCGCAAACTCCAAGTTTGGCATTCGGTCGCCTGACAGAACTTCCACTTCAGAATGGTCTGAAAGAACCGAGTCATTCATGATCATTATGATCACGAAGTTGAAATGAAAAGGAGATACAGGACAACCCTGGCGAACCGCACTTGTCGGGGGGAACTCAGGAGAGTTACCCTTAGACCCTCACACGGCCTCGGGAGTCATGGTAGAGGGACTTCGGAATGGAAAGGAGTTGAGCTGCCACGTCCTTCATAGATAGGCAGCGACACAAGGTAGCGCAGTCAACAGAGTCGAAGGTAGCTTTCAACTCAAGGAAAACTATCATGGTGTCTCTGCTCTAAAACTTGGCAGAGTAAATATGTGGTCGATGCAACCACGATCTTGGCGGAAGCCAGTCTGGCTTTTTAAGACTCGGTCCTCACGAGGACAAGTAAGTCGTCAAAGAATGATACCCGTGAGAAGTTTGGAAGCAATGGAATTAGGGCTAATGCCTCGATGATTTTCGCACGAAGTATGCTGACCTTCTTGAAGATGTGCGCGAAAGTTGATAGTCACTAATCTGAAGGCACTTCGTCAGTGTCCAAAATCGTGTTCAAAAGAGAAGCAAGTCCAGTCAACAAAGGGTCAGCAAAGTTGAGGGAAAGTCGTCGAGTCTCGGAGCCTTGTTTCCTTTTAACACGGCGAACTCATGTTGAATCTCTTCCGAAATGGGAGGTGTGGCATGTATATCCGACGTCGGCTCAGGTGATTCAACAAGCGCCAAGTTGGCAGCAGGCCTGCTAAATTGCTCTACAAAATTCTCCGCCCGACGGGCTAGTCGACGACGCTATTGTCTCCCTAACGAATGGCTTTCTCGGACCTGTGTTTCGGATCAGCTGGAATAGTACCCAAGTGTTCCCAATACCGCTGGATTTCTCCATCTCACGGGCCTTTGCAACCCACCAAAGTTCCTGGTCAACTCGAAGACTCCTTGTCAGATGTCGTTTCAGGAAGTTACGAGTACGTTGAAATTCAGTGCCCATCAGAACCAGTTTACGCGCTTTGATCAAACCGATCGATGCTTCAGTGATCCATTCACAGTTAGGACGTCTCAAGTCGGGTGCACAGTGAGCGTCAAACGTATTCTTCATGGCACACTTGAGATGATCCCAGTCAGCGCTCGATTCACCAACCTCATTCATCACTGACAATTGATGGGCAAGTTCGTTATGACATACCCAATTTAAGAAGCTTAGAAGTTAAGCGCTTCTTTGAAGCGGGAAAGGTAAGAGCCGAGTGTGCGCACACTAAAGTATGGTCGGAATCTAGACATGTGTTCCAAAATTGATAGTCTTGGATTGAGGTGCGCCAGCTGTAGCTGATGGCAATATGGTCAAGTTGGGTCCAAGTCAATAAGGAACTCGGTGGGCGCCAGGTGACGCGGTGTGAACGTTTGTGCTGGAAAGCAGAACTGCTAACATAAACACTGGTCAACGCACAGTTGCAGGAATCAATCTCCATCGTATGTTCGGCGTGAATCGACTTCGAAGCGCCCTCCCAAGTGTTTTTAAGAGTCTGAAAGATGCCCCACTTGGGCATTCAAGGCACCAGCAACAATCACGATGTCAGTACTCTTCAATATGCGGAGAAGACGAAAGATGACAGTAGAATTCATCTCTGGTACCCACCGAACTGCAGTCAGGAGCATAAATGGAGGCGATGAAAAGGCGCTTTGTCTTCAGATGCTGCTTAGTAACCCCAATAGAGGTTCGAAGTCGGAACGCAGACATGCGGCTGTTCACCGGTATCCAACGGAGTAGATTACCTTCAGTATGTCTGCCGAGGGCGAGACCAACACCGTAAATAACTAGAGCCATTGACTCGGTATAAACAGAGAGGCGAAAGGTGCAATCATTTTCGTCAGATACAGAATCAGGGAGTCGAAGATTCGTCGCAACGGAGACACAGCACTCATTATTACGAAGAGTGAACAGTGAGAGATAGTGCTGCCTGTTGACCGATCTGACATAAAGTACGGGCGTTAAGAGAACCAATGTGAAATGAGACTCGTGATTTGGTGGACGAGTTAGGATTATCGATGGCACAGCAACGAGGTCAGCAACAGATTCTTGCTTCATAGACAGGGAAGAAGATTGTTGAGAGGGGAAAGAAAATAGAAGAAAAGGGAGAATTTTCGACGTGGTCGCGAAGGCAGATGAAACTCTCCGTGGGCGCATTCCGAGAGATGGATTTTGTTCGAGGTACCCTAACGATAGCCTTCGACTCAACAGTCTGACGCACAAGGTGGTAGGTGATTTGGAGGCTCGCTTGACGGACTTCACACGAAGCTTTTGTTCAATAGCCTGAATCACAAAGCAGTGGGGGATTTGGAGATTCGTTTGAGGGTCTCCACCAGGAGCCTTTGGCTCAACAGCCTGGTGCACAAGGCAGTGGGGAGCAAGTCCAGATCGGAAGTGTGATTGCAGAGACCCAATGGGATCTGCTCGAGGTTTGTCACACACAGCCTTCGAAGATTTGGAACAATTCACATGTGTTTTACGGCCGTATTAGGCTACACATCTGAGATCAAGGCCACCCGCAGGTGGGAGTTGGCTGGTTTGCACCAATTTGATCAGGAGCTGTCTGGCTTGGGGAGGGCAATAGCAAAGCATTGAGCACCGGAAGGTGCCCTTCCATCGTCAGAGACTGCGTGGCATTGGTGCTCTACGCCAATCGAGATGTGAGCTTATAACCCGTAGATCTACTTTATCCTATGGTTAAGTGTTAAAGGAACGGACCATCGACCTCTCCTTAACCTGCGAAGAGGATTGGATTGTGAGACTGAGTTAGTTTTAACCCTAACCATTGAGCTGTTTGGTATGAGTTGCTCTGGAGGCACTTGGAAAGTGCCATCCAGTATATCTCAATGCGTCAATGCAGTACGCAAACTATCGCACCACGATAAGGTCCAGTCTCGTTGTAATGGAAGCATGAATGAAGATGAACGCGGCCCCGAACAAGGTTAGCCGGGCACAGTGAACGAAAAACGCGCGCAAACCAACGAATTAAAGAAGAAGTCACAAGGCGGACAACGAGCAGTAGTCAGTGGAAGCTGCCGCGATGGAATAGCACTTCAAATGTCTGTACGGTGTAAGTGATCCTGCGGTTCATGAACAACAGATTTGATGGCTTGCTGTATCCAGTTTTGGTTTTCGGAGAACTTCATGGGAGCCCGCACTTAAGCAAATCCGAATCGGAGTCTCAGGGATTAGGAAGCCTAGACCAGTTTGCTACCGGTCGAAACCAATATCAAGTCTCTTGCACTTGCAGACTTCGCCTTCAGTTGATCCCGCCAAATCCTTGTTCTTAGTGAAGCTGATACTGTAGCGAATTCACATTGCAACCAGAACACGCCACGCTTGGGGGAAGTAGAACTCCACTTGAATTCGACGTAGTCATTGCGGTACATTCGGCTTGTTATATCATTTCTTTTTATTCAAACCGTGATCTAAACGATCGCGGATAAACCGATTTCAGCAGTGTTTCTGGGATGGAAAATGTATCAGAAGGTCGGATAACGAATTCAAATAGGATGTGTGAAGCGGTACGCTTGGAGCCCGCATAAATTGCCATGGATCATTGCACCATTCAGAACGTGCACTGTATCGCATGAGTGAGTCATCGTTCCTAGATGTTAAATCACGAGCTTGTAGGATGAACCACAAAAGATGCATGGCATTGGACAACCCAACCACCTGGGAAGAAGATAAGCACAGTAGTGCATCATCCAAAACAAAGCGCTTTGTAATCAGTGCAGGATAAACATAAACCACAGACGTTGAAAACGTCGGGATAAGGCAAAAAGTCAAAAAACAGGCAGCTCTGGTTGACTGCTAGAAAGTTGATAAGTGAACAAGGTAATTCAAACAGAACACAAAGCAACATGCTAACTAGATGGAATCATTTGCAGAAGGAGGCATTAAAGACGAGTAGAACCGAAAGTGACTGTTATTCTGATCTAATTCACGAAGCAAATCAAAATTCACTGGGTAAAGCAACCTCTGTCTAAGTTTGGTTAAACGTGCCAGCGATGGGCTGGAATGGGTTAGGAGAGCCACTTGCGTCCTTTCAGGGTACTCGTAATTACCCCGTGGAGCGATATGTTGCTTACTAAAACACCAGGCAAATGTCAGTAAGCGATCGAGTTTAGCACAGTGACGGAGCACAACAGTTTGACGAAAGAAAGAATGGAGAAGTCTTGTGATCAACAGCGTTGAGGAAAAAAACATAAAATAACTGTGTCATCCGTTGTAGTAGCAAGGAAACAAAACAAACACTAGGTCACAATCGACATCTGTCAGCCTCAGGACAACATGAGGTGCGTCAAGGTGCGGTATCGCCGCTGACGTGATTTGTAATGTGTGGAGAAATCTCGGGAAGGTAGAAAGCATGTTGTGTGTGAGACACACTAATCACGCAGCCAGACATCCGGGGCTGACTACTGGGTAGAAGAGTAGAATGTACTTGCAAAAGAACCATTGGCTGATGAAAGGCCGGAGACTCTTCAATCTGCAACGACCCCCCGTTCGACCATAATTGCTTGAGTTAGCTAATACAACTAATCTATGGCATGCGTGAAGCAGTGGCTATTTTTTCCGACAAACAATTGATGCACTGAACTGGATCAGGGTACGGGTGGAACCGCAAAAGGTCGAGCAACACATACGTGCCAAAGCGTGTCCAAAAGAAAGCTGTGAGCATCCGCCATGTAGTGCAGGAGCATGATAGCAGAGAGATCAAATTGACACAAACTTACCGAGAGTGTGCACTTCCAGTAGAAACAGGCGGGCAGCTGCGGGTGATGGTTTGACCTCATCGTTCACCAACAGAACCGGGATACTTGACAGCCCAGTAGCCTTGTGTTGTGAAAACATGAGTCGAGCAAGAGGAAGAAACCTGGTCAACGCGAAATAAACCGTTTTCATCGCCAGAGTGCCCCAAGAAAAAAGGCGACGAAAACGACAGAACAATGCATTCACCAGGTTCATCGAGGTTGCCACCGAGTGAGAGCTGATCGGAGCACCAACAGTAGATAAGTACAAACGCAGTCTGCTGTTAGCTGGTGACCATGAAGCCTAAAGGTAATGAATGAAACCGGGAAAAGGGAAAATGATAGATTCGAGAGAATCCTGCAGGAAACGTTGATTTGAGTACCACCATGCTCCTGATGTGAGCAGATAGCAAGTGAATAACATGGTAAAAGTTTACACTGGCAGAGTTGATGAAACCGAATTAATCACTTATCATCATTATACACGTTAGCTAGAGAATGAAAACACCTCCGCTATTGTGCCGCAATATAAAAGAAAAGAAAAACATGGAACAGAGGCACGCCGGCTGAGTCACCAGTAACGGATGGACACCAATCAGTTAGGAAAATAAATACTAGCGAAGAGGTAAACGCCAGTGCTTAGGCATTAGATTCTGTAAGTGAGCACGTCTGTTTTCGTTTGGAGCATGCCGCTCAAGGTGGCAATGAAATTTTTCTAAAAAGGAACCATGTCAATGTTCGGAACAGTTAATCATTATCGTATACAACGATAGTAGGCGATATAGGAATAATCCTATTTGAACACAGAGTTGGTTAGCAAGCACAGTAACGTAGATGCCTGCGAAAAGCGAGGTATGCAAAAGAGATCAGTGAAGCAAAAACAGAACATACGGTCACTGTGGCGGACTATTGCACTGTGTGGAAAATTCCTTTGAAGAGTATCCACGATTGCCGTTTGGATCGTACATTTCAATTCATTCAATGAGCTTACTTCGCGGCTGTGAGGACCGCTTCTGCACTGAAGCATTTTCTTAGGAAACCCGGATGTTGTGATCATCCTATCTAGCCCCCCTACCGTGTGATTGCATTGTTAACTGTTCCATAAACACACATCTTTGTCCAGCGGTCCATAAGTTGTTTATGCCTTCATTCCATCCACATCTCTAATGGTGACCTCATTTTAATCTGCGTCGGTATTACCATATGCCCGATGTGGCCTGATGTCGCTCTCGCCATGGCGTTGTAACATTGTGGCCACAACAGATGAAGTGTTTCTCACCTTCAACCAACGTGTTGTGATGATGATGATACCAGATTTTTTGGGCGATGCGAAGGTCATCCAGTTGACCATAGCTTGCTAGCTTGCATGTGTGTGTCTCACGTTCACCTCTAACCCTTTTTAAAATCTGTGAGTGGATCATGGATGGTTGGCCACTATGAATTTGTCCATGACATCACACGACTAGCGTGTTTTCACTTGTCCTTTGGCTGTCTGTTTTGAACACGGGTTTTAACAGCTTGTTTCCGCTCCCCCCCCCCTTTAATTGCATCCTGCTGCTGATGTTGATCTACCGAGATTCTAAACGATCGAGATTTGCCCAATTTCCTGTACATATTGTAATAATACCGTAGCTAATGAGGACCAATGGCTATACCTCAGGGACGTTCGATCGGCAAACGTTACCGGCACGCTAAGACGTCAAACAAGAAGTTTAAACGTGATGCCGTTAACGTTTGCAGTCAGTTGGTTGACTGCGTTTAACAGTTCAAATGTAATGCAAACTGCGAAATTGAAAGCACAACAAAGCACAACAACAACCATTCGGTTGGCCACCTTCGATCTGAGCACCGAAGTGTAGTGGGTTCAGTTACCTTGAGCAACATCAGCATAATAATGATAATAATAACAAGGAGAACATTAATAGTAATGAGAATATTAATAGTAAAATCGCAGTAAAGTACATGGCGAAACGTGTAGTGCTACGCACCAGACTATGCAATAAAATAGTGGTTGCATAACCATTACGTCACACACAAGGAGAGCCATGTCGTCCGCTTACTCAAGGTTTGTTTGTTGAAGAGGAAAAGACATATAGGACGGCCATAGCGAACCTATTGTCGTGGGAAACTCAGAAGACCGCCTCCAGTAGACCCTTAACCGCCTCGGGAATCGCGGTATACTACAGTATCGAGAGCAATTTACCTTGTACGCCTTTCCGGGATGGAATGCCACAATCTTGCACGATGCAGGGCGATCATCGCGTCAAGAAATTTCGCTTTGTTTCAACAAAGTGAGCTCATGTCGAATTTCCTCCAAAGTGTGAAAGGTGACATCAAGTTCCAACGTCGGCACAGGTGATTTAGCAAACGGCAGTATCGCAGTGGGCCTGCTGAACTGCTCTACAAAATAGCCCTCCCAACGGGATAGTAGATGAGGCTGAGAATGGATCAAATACCCAACTTTCTCAACTACTGTCTTACCAACTAAAGGCTTTTTTGCAACCGTGTTCCGGATGAGCTGAAACGGTACTAACTTTCCTTATCACAAGGGCCATTGCCAGCCACTAACATTCCCGGTCAATACGAAGAATGCTTGTCAGTCGTCGTTTCAGGGCGTTACAGACACGTTGAAACTCTGTACCCATTTGGAACCTGTTTCTGTGCTTCGACAGCTTTGATGGATGCCTAAGAGATCAATTCACAGTTCGGACTTCTCAAATCGGGTGTAAAGCAGGCATCAAAAGCATTCTTCAGGGTAAACTCGACACGATCCCAGTCAATGTTCGGTTTATCAGGCTCAGTCCCCACTGACAACAGGTCGGCTGATTTGTCACTGAAATGCAGACTGCTAGTTCAAGAAACTTAGAAGTTAGGCGCTTCTTCGAAGCGGGAAGAGCGAGTGCCAGGCGTGCGCGCACTAGCATGGTCGGAATCTGGGCATTTGCTCCAAATTGACCGACTATTGAAATGATGTGCGTCAATTTGGGTCCAAGTCATTGAGGAATTCGATGGGCGCCAGGTGATACGATGTGAACGCTTGTGCTGGAAAGCAGTGCTGCTAATATCGTAGTCGGTACATAGTTTCAAAAACTGGTCACCACTGTCTGTCTAATGTGCGTCGAACTCGAAACAGCACCAGGTATTTATGAAAATAAGAAAAACGATCCAGGTGGGCATTCATGTCAACAGTGACAGTCACGATATCAGTATTCTTGGCCATACGGATAAAAGATGAGAGATGGCGATAGAAGTCATCTTACATACCGACCGAACTGCTGTCAGTAGGTCATAAACTGAGGCGATAAAAAGGCACCTTGCCCTCAGGCGGTGCTTAGTAACCTCAATAGAGGTTCAAAGTCGGACCGCACACATGTGCCTTTTCACCTGTATGCAGTTGAGTAGATTGACTTCGGCATGTTTGCTGAGGACAATACGAACACGGTAAATACCTAGAGCTATTGACACAGCACCGCGACGAGTGTAGCCATCATTTTCAGATTCAGGACTAAGAAGTCGAACATTGGTCACAACGCTGGTATCTTGTATGGGTGCTTCGACGACACAGCACCCAACAATACAAGAAGGTGAAGAGTGAGAATCAGCGTTGTCTGTTGGAGGCTCTGAACCACAGTGCGGACGTTACACAAACCGATGTGAAATGAGACCCCTGGTTCAAGGGACGAGTTACGGGGATCAATAGCAGCGATTGCAAGGTCAATGACAATCACGTGATCGTTGTCCACTATTTGCTACAGAGTTGCTTACTGCGACGCAATGAACAAGCCATATCGACTGGTGGAAGAAAGTCTACAAACCAAACTGTGCGGCTATGAGAACCAACTACATCCAATCAGCCAACCCGAGCTATAGATATTCCGATTTATAGTAAAATAATATGGGCACTCAACACTCCACACCACTTGGAGTATTTCTCTTTTGGGCACGTCTCTACACAACATGCTACATCCATGAATGCTTACAGAAAGAATTCTCCTTCGAAGTATCGACTGCGTATCCGTTTGGATTTGCTCGGGACTAAGTATTCGCTAGCAAGCTTCTTACCAATACGCACAGAAGATGTCACCTAGATTCGAGATAACACTCCAGCAACAGAACTACCCGATAGGGGAAAAATAGTCATCACATCAACCAACCCGATTCAAAGCGATATTAAAGGTTTACAGTTGTTAGTAAGAAGGCATTTCCTCCGCGTGACAAATAGGGACGAACAGAACAGCCGAGTCGCCACTGCCTCTGGGTAAAGATGGATAAAGATTACCAAAGTCAAGTGGTTTGATCCGCATTCCCTGCAGCGGTTGTGCGTACTGGTAAGACGAAAATGGGCAGTAGTGACACTGATAACAATTGACAGGTCGAGTCGCTTGAATAGCTCTTAAAAAGATCCAACTCTACGTTCAAGCTTAAGTGTTTGTCTATGGATTAACTGACAGCGGCTGTCTTACGCACTAGAGGCTTCCTTGAACCCGGTGCGCCGAATGAGCAGAAAATGCTGCTGCCCTTCCTATTCAACGACGTTACTGGTGAATTTTGAGATAGTTAGAAAAACACCATTCCATTGGCTGGAACCGCAGTTTTTGCGATAATAAAATGTATAAACCTCAGAAAATTCATTTCCATTCAAGTGCCTTAAGCAAACCGAAGAAGTAGCCCGGGGTCTTTTTGGCATTATGCATTATAGGCGAATTGAACGTGCGTTCCGTTTGTTTGCCTCGGTCAAGAGTGATAGTTGGCGCTAAAAACAAATACGGGGCGACTAGTCGAAGCTAAGTGAATGAGTGATACATAGGTGTACTGCGATGGGAGTGTCACACCAGAGTGAACGGATAGACCAACCGAGTGAGCCAGACAGCCAATGGGAGACGAGCGCAAAGGATTCGATTACAGGACACGGATCGGCCGACATGCGTGTGAGTTACACAACGTTTGTCTAACTGAATTAAAAGAAGAACCTCATCGACTCAGAAGGGTAGTTATTTTTGGACGTAAACGTGCAACTTATATCGAGGAGTTTAGCTTACCAAACATGCTGAGTTGACCTTGCCGAATAAACTAATTCCTGAAGGAGTGAGTTCTGCAACATGGTGTGAGAAGATAAAGAGGAACCACAACGGCAGCGCTTGGATTCTGTTCGGATCACCAGTGGCTATTCAAGTGTCTGCCCCACTGGACATGGAGGCGTAAAGTGAATGGATTTCTGCATATGAATACGTTTGGACGAGCAACCGATGGCGTATCGCTTGGCCATGTTTCGACATGCAGCCG